TGTTAAACTACTATTTATTATATAATTTTTTTTATTGAACTACTATTTATTACATAATTTTTTTTCAACATATTAAACTTCATATTTCTATTCTTATTATTTAACATATTAAATTTTATGTTATTTTAATTTTTTCACATTTTTTAACATTTCTAATATATTTTATTTTTATAACAAAAATTACAATCCATCATAAATCAATATCCTTTTTAATGTATATTCAAAAGCACAAATTATTATCAATTTATTAAATTAACCTTTTAAAAAATATCTAAATATAAATTTTATTATAACAACTAACTTTTGCTGAAATAACTTTTGCCCAATAAACTTTCAATAAATATATTTTTGGCAAATTAAAAACTAAATACACATTTTGTTCTGCCCATCTATTGCGGAGAATTAAGTTGGCTCACCTTGTCAGGAACACTGAACATTTACCGTGACAAGCTTGAGCTATTTTAAGATCAATGTCTCTCCAGGTTCTTAAAAAAGAGAGCTCGGAGCTCAAGGCATGGCCGGCCATAGACTTTGAACTCTAACCAAGATTTTGGAATGACATTGTAGGCAACAGTCAAAAAACACGATCAGATAAAAAGAATAATATTCATTCATTGAACACTCTTATTATAATGAAGCATCTTATATAATTAGATTTGCATCTAATTGTAAATTGTTGGTGTCAAGTCGTTTACTATTTCTAGCAATCATGCGAGGTTTCTTGCCTTACCCTATGGTCTAAACCAATTAAACGAGAGTTTTTACATATCCAAGTTCCTCCTAGTAATGATTTCTCCAAGGGCATCATCTTCTGGACAATGTTTGGAAGATAAATACACAAGCTGATAAACTGAAGTAAATTTTGTTCTTTCCAAAGTAAAACTAAAGTCAGGCCTTCCCTGGTCCAGTGTTTACTACCCCGCCTGTCTTGGTTGACCCACATAGGTTGACTTGTAATTCTTCTCTCATGAACGCACAAATGATCAGCTGATAAAAGTAGAATAGCACCAATCAAAAAAGTACTAAAAGACAATATATACGAAGATGAAAGAAAACGTCTTGGATTTGGATTTTATGCTCGTGAGATCTAGAAGCACTTTAAGCGGATCATAAATCTTACCCAGATGTTTAACATCTAGTAGCCAGCCGCATTATTTTTCAATCATAGTGCAATTGTCACGAGATCAATCCTATTTACGGCCAGCCGACACAGCTCAAGCCTCGAGCAAAGGCACTACACTGGGTTACTTTTGACGTTTCATGACATTTTTGTCTTGTTTAGTTACCTGACAAACTCCTCTTTACTATCATATACCTTCAATTAGGATGAGATATATCATATAACAGCCAATAGTGAATATCTTTATATGATAAACCTCCTAAATTATGTGTGTGGCCAACTGATTCATGAATTTTCAACCTACGAAATTTCTGCTAGATCCTCATATTTCTGTTAGCTGAAGCGTGGTTTCAACTTCCACCGGAAAGAGAGAGACGCACTAATATGCGTATGGCTTAGTAAAATGGAAGGTAAAGAGTTGTCCAAGTCATATATGCTATTCACAAATATGGAGTTTCAACTAAAATTGACACGTAAGACATTCAGATGAAGGAATTGAAGGCAAGGAGGATAGTTGCAAAATATCAGATAAAAATCCAACCCAGGAACTTTGAGTCATCATAAAACCCAAAAATTTTCCATTTTTAGATAACGATATTTGGGGAGGAGTGAGTTCCATAAGAAGGACCGAAATGGTTATAACTGTCATTTGAGCATTTTAGAAACACCAAGAGTTCAAATCAACCTTCTTAATGTAGGAAAATCTTCTGTCAAGCTTTTATATCTTGAGGATTCGACACGAAGAATAAGACGCAGTGGCCAGAAAAAAAAAAGGGGGCGGAGAACAAATGTAATAAAAAAAGGGAACGATGCCAGGTCATGCTGCATCATTAGTGACACATCGTGGCAAAATTAAAGCCCCATTCGGAGTGGCGAACAGCGGAACGGTAAATAGTCAAAGTCGTCGAGCTCTTCCCAATATTTGACTGATGTTTCCATCTACGTTACGTTGTTCTCCAATTCTGTGGAAAACAATAGAAGCGTACAAAATTGGATTCTATCAAATTTCGACGCAACAAAATCAATGATTACCTTTCTGTCTCAGTTGTGCGTCGGAAGGCTGAATTGAGACTTTTTATCGATGTAAATTTGGACTTTTTCCCTATGGTTTGTGAATTGCGATGAGCTCGAAGCCGCTGGCCATTTGAAAACTACGCGTTCCGCGCACCACCGAAAATGGCGGTCGCTATCCCTTGAAAAAGCAAGCATTTTTCACCTTAATCAAACACGAGTGAATCTGCTCGTCGACTTATATTTTTGTTATTAGACTGGCTCACAAATCATCCAAAATGGTCCTGAATGAACTACCAGTGACCTCGATCGATTTCCGAATGGATCACGCAAAGGAGATCAAATTAAGGGTGTGTTCTAGTCTCGACTTTTGAGAAATAGAGTATTTGGAATATGGGATGTTATTTGAGAAAAAAAAAAAAGAAGATAAAAGTTTATCATAAAAGTGTTTTAAAAATGTTATTAAAAATAAATTTAGTAGATGTAAGAGGATGTAATTTTTAAAAAGTGAATTTCACAAGTGAGAATATGAGATATTAATTGATCATATTATCTCAAGTTTAATTTATTATTTTTTATTTAAAAAATTGTTAATTCATTAAAACTATAATCATCATTTAAACACTAATACTAATAATAATAATATTTAGATATTAAGTTTTTAGCATTTCAGATTAAATAATTAATCATGTTAATTTTTAACATTGATGTATATTCAACCATTTATAAAATTTTTCTCCAATAGATCAAATTTATATTTTATACTTTTATTATTTAATATATCAAATTTTATGTTATTTAAAATTTAGTTAAATATAACTTTTAATTTTTTTATTTTACTCGCATTTTGTTTTTGACCCTTACACTTTTTTTGATATTTTAGATTCATATATTTTATTTTTTATTATTTTTGGTCTCTCTAAGAGTAAAATATAGAGATTCTGAAAGGACTTAAAACAATACAAAATTAAAAATATAGGGACTAGAACACCCAAAAAAAAAATATAAAGATTAAAAGCAAAATGTGAATAAAGTACTGGTATCAAAAGTTATATTTATCCTTAAAATTTGTATTAAGCAGCAAAGATTTGTCCAATTGATTAAACTTTTTTAATAAAAAAATTTATCATGTATATTTCTTTAATCATTTTAATTTTCAATATTAAAAAATATTAAACTATTTATTATATGATTTTTTTTAATATATCAAACTTTATTTTTTTATTTCTATTATTTAACATATCAAATTTTATGTCATTTAAAATTTTTATTATATTTTTTAAATATTTTATATTTGTATAATAAAAATTATAAATTATCATAAATTAATATTTTTGTGGTAATTGTGTATTTAAAAACATATTTCACTCTAATAATTCAAATAACTTTTAGCTTATCAAATTAACTTTTAAAAAAATATATCTAAACATAAATTTTATTATAACAACTAATTTTCATTAGATTAACGTTTATCAAATAAACTTTTAATAAATTAACTTTTGACTAACAAAAAATCAAAACACAAATTAAATTTGTTAACTCAAAGATATACTCCGTAATAAATAAGAAACAAGGAGAGAAGAAAATTACACAAACTAATTTTGAGTCTCGCTACCAATCTTTTTGAAAAGCTTAAAGTCCGTTTGGTTGCTAGTTAGAGTAAAAATAAAATGGATTAAAAATATAAAAATAAAAAGTGAAATGATTGAAATATGAAATGAAAATGGGTCAACCATATTTCTAACGAGAAAGAATAATTGAATTCATAAGATTGAGGTAATAATTTATGAAGGGTGTAGTGATTATCACATCCATAATATTATTAAATTTTATCATATTTATCATTTACCATGAGAAAAAGGATAATTTAATTATTTTTATTTTAAATTTTTTAATCCATTCCATTCTCAATTTCTCACCCTCTTTACCAGCCAAATGAATTTCATTTGGGTGAGAGAAAAAAATACGAAGGAAATAAAATCAAGGGAGAGAATTCCTTAAAAAAATTACTATTTTTACAAAATTTTTCTCCTAGATTTTCTTCTCACTTTTCTCTCCATCCAAGCAATTTTCATGTTAATAATGTTTTATAGGTTTTACATCAGCTCACTCCCAATTTATTATTGGGAAAATCACAATTAAGGATCCCTAAAGATAATTAATTACATTGCAGGACCAAATAATTTTAATATTACTTTACAAAATCAAAAGACCTAAATATAATTAAAATTTATTGTGAAAAGATAAAACTTTCCCTCATGTATTTTTATTGTAATGGAAAAATTAATTGTTATTAAAATAGAAATGAAACTCATTTTTTAATGGAGACTTGTTTACTAGATTATAATAATTTTTCTGCCAAATTTATATTTTGTTGTTGTTAATGAATGAATTGATTGTTATTAGAATAAAAATGAAACCCTTTTTTTAAATGAAAACTTGTTCACTGAATCACTACATTTATTCTTCTCCATCACCAAGTTAATTTCTTAAAGTTATTAATTCAAGAATTGGTTGTTAGAATGGAAATGAGACTATTTTTTTTCAATAGAGATTTATTCATCAAATCACAACATTTATTCCTTTCTATCACTAAGTTAATTTTTTCTCCTTGTTAATAAAAAAATTAATTGTTGTTAAAATGTAAATATAACTTTTTTTTTAACAAAGAATTATTGTTAAAAGAGTATATAATATATATATGAAAGATATTTTTGTCTTTTTATAATAAAAGTAGGGTAATATTAAAATCATTTAATTCTGTACCGGAATTAATTGTCTCTAGGGTCCTTCATCGTTGTGAAGTTCCCTTTATTATTTCAGCTAACCTAAATCTTACGTGTACAGAACATTCAACACACGATTAGGCACAGGCAAACTGAAGGGTTTTCTCACAAGCTAACGCATAACTTACCAAAGACTATAATCTTTTCAACAGTGTCAGGAATGCTCTAGGTAAATCGCTCTCCTCAGAATGCTCTTCAGACATTTTCAGTGTACTCGAGCATATTTTGTTCACTGTTTATTTTTCTCCATGTCTTCGATCCCTCTTTTAATATTTTTCACAATGATGACGGTTTGAGTCAAAATTCTTCCATAATTTTTTGATCTTCAAAGTTCTTTTTCCTTTCACATAGACAATGTTTATTTCCCCATAGCTAGGTTCCTCATGAATGATGGAGCATCTGCAGAGCAGCTCTCATATTGCAGGTTTGTTCCTGGCTCACTTGAAGAAGCAGCTTAATCAGAAATACTCTCCTCACAAAATAGCGTTGGTTTTGCAGGACTTGGGAAGCCTGCAATTACACTGCCAACTGTCGAGCATTATCATAACTTTTGACACGGTAGGCCTTTCTCTGGCCTCAATTTGCAGACCAGAGAAATTGATTGGCTTTTATCATTGCAAGTTTCTCTCACAGATTAGTCTTATCTATTAAGATAAGATATTGATAGAAATTCTGTCTAGTTTTTGTCTTCCTCTCCATGCCTGATACAACATTTGATAGAAATTCTGTGAATGGACAGGACCAAATTACATCAGCAACAGAACAACACAAGACGCCCGCATCACCCGATAGGCTAAAATATGATGAGTTCTTTCTAATGATGATTTTAAGTAGAACTACACCAAAAGTGAAAAGGTCAGATTTAACAGGCAAAAATCAATCTATTGCCAACTCTGGACAAATATATTCAGCATAAAAAAAGTTTGTTTGAAAAAGGAATCTTTCGTTTATAGTAGTATATCCTTATGTGTTGTCAAAATAAAAGCTAGAATTATAGAGGCAGTTGAAGGTGGTGATGGTGAACGTTGATTTGATATTCGCATTGATTAAAAGAGAAAATTTCTTAAAAGAACAAACAAGAAGTAGCTCATGGCCCCTGTAGAACTGAGTGCTGTTTCAGACAAGCCTTCACGGCACTAAACATTCTGAATTGCTGGTAAGTTTTTTGACTAACCAGTAGAAGCCATCATTTATGGAACTTCTCAAGCACTATTGACCTTCTTGATAGGTACTCTCAACTGGAATACTTCCTTCAGGTTTACTGGAAGAAGTAGAGCTAGAAAGGCCTCTTGTCTTAAAAAAGGTTGGTTGCTTTGGAGTTGGGAGGCTTGCAGTCTCGCTTTCAAGCATTATCACTATTTGTGACATGGTGGGCCTTTCTCTTGGTTCATCTTGTACGCACAATAAACTCACTTGCACACACCTAATGAATTGATTTAACATCGCAGCTTTCACTCAAAGATGGACCATTACATCCAACAACTTATTATCTGTCCATAGCCTCCATGCCTGCATATTCATGCTCATAAACACCATAATGCAAAAGAACAATAAGCTAAGAGAGGAACGGGATGAAACTTACATAGCCCAAGAGATTGGAAATTAAACTTGCTTCGATTGAAAGAATTTCATGTTCCTTTTTCCACTGATAATTTCAAGTACCACTACGTTGAAACTGAAAACATCTTTTTTTATTGAAAGTAATCCATCAAATGCATGCCCTAGAGTCATATAGCCATTATGAAATAAAAAGTAAAAAAATGTAACTTCCTTTCTTGTAAATGAAGTTAAGGGTCAGTTTCATTATAATTAAATAGATATCTCAAACTAAGTTCCAACTATTCTCTCCATGTTGGCTTCAATTTCTTTGTTTTTAAATATTTTAACCAAACCAAAATTGAAGCATCGAGAAAAATATTACTCATTTTTAAGTCTCTGTGAATTACTCTTAATTTAGAATCTTGTTAAAGATATAACATCCCTCGAGCAACTCAAGAATTATATCAAACTGCAACTGCCAACTAAACTCAGACTTTGTGTAGTATTTGTATCAACATTTTCGTTTTCCTTAAGTCCATCAAGCTTATGCAATGCATAGAAAGCATTAAAAGAATTTGGATCTAGTGATCATTTAGGGAGATGATCATATAAGAACCATGCTCATCTTCCTCATACAATCTAGATTTGGTTTAATTTTTTATTAACTGTTAGAAGATCATGTTTTTCTTTCTGTTATTTCTTGTAAAATAACAGATATCAAAATTTGATCAAATATATAATTTAAAACGTCTAAAGTCTAATTTAGATGGTTTATGTTAAAGATAAGTATAATGCTTATCCTTAGATGTGCACCAAATCCTACAAGATCCTAAAGCAACATCAAATCCAAATATTATCAAAAATTAACGCATCTGAAACCTGACCGAACAAGAATGTGTCCAAGCTCTTGTTTGGCAAGTATTCATAAAGTAAGATTTTTTCATATCCTGTTATGCCATAGCCCACAGTCTGACGAGGTTTCGATGCTATTGTTTGGATGTCAAAATAACTTCATTCTTGAATTCCTTTGAACCTTGTGAGGAAACATTTGAAAGCCTCTTTGCTGCAATATAATGTTCTCCTGGTAATATACCCAAAAGAAAAAGAATATCTCCAAAAGCCATCAGCGAAAATTAAATAGTCAAGCAAGATGAGTCAATTACCCTGTAAACAGGGCCATAACCTCCTCGTCCAAGCTTGTTTGCATCTGAAAAGTTATCTATAGCAGCTAATATGGTTTCAAAATCACAATATGGTACCTCAATGCCTTCAGTATCATTTTCTTCTAATTCTTGCAAGTCTATCAAATCTTTCACTTGTATTTCACTGTCATACATGTGCCCTCGAATTCTCTGAACTCTTCCCCTGTCTGAGTAATAGGAAGAGAGATGTATATTATAACTTATGTTGCTTACAGAGAAGGAGTGAGCAAGCAATCCATAATGCATAACTAAATATATTACCTTTCTTATGGACCATTTTCGTTTTCCATAGATAGGCAAAAACAACCATGCATGCCACGAAAGCCAAACTTAAGAGAGTCACCACAAGAATTATCGTGAGAGGCTCTTTTTTTTCTTCCAGATGGCTCTGGTGACGTGGAAGGGACACCAGCAAAATAAAAATTGATATTGATCAGAGCAATGAAAAACTAGGACTAGAGAGTTGCAAGAGGAACAAAATACAAAAGACTACCTAACTGAGCTGCAATTTGAGTTGAGTTGTTTCAGTAATAGTTTTTATTACAAAGACACCTTTGTTTTCCATCCTTTGAATCATTGTTGCAGGTTGAATGGGGCCAATTGATGCAGTCTACAAAGTTATGACAGAGAGGTTCTATTGGTGGTAGCCAACTAACCTCTATTTCCTCTTGACCCTGGCAAATTAGCACCAGTTGGTTACAATAAATGGTGAGTCAAGCTGAACTCCTTGGTTCTCTTTATCATCACTGATGTATGGACCTTGAATTTGGATCAACTTCCGATCATCTGGATTTATTTTAGCCAACGCGATTCGGTCCAAGTTCAGGCATCGTGAAGTTAACCTCGCCTGTTGATTTGTAGCAATTTAACTTGAAGTACAAGGGATCTCCACAATTTGGCCCAGTGCTCAGTGGATATGGAACTATTGTTGTGCCACAAGGTTCACGGGTTCTGGCGTTTGATGCTACACAAGTGAGAATTTATGAGTATTCCACTTTAGTTTTTGGTGTTTGTAAATCATGCATCTTTTGGGAACAAAAAAGAACATGAGGAAAAACAAATATGTTAATTTTTTCAGTTTACTTTATGCGAACTTCTTTTTCGAAAGTTCATCTAAACATCTTCCAATTTTGATATTTAACGGAATTTGAAGCATGCAGTGATAACATTAGCTTTTGAACCACAATTATGAAATTAAGCATGGTGCATACCACGCACATTCTTTTTTAACACCAAAACAGACAAATAAATAAATCTGACCTTTGTCTGAAATGAGTAACCGACAGAAAAAGAAATGCCTTTTTGAGGGGAATGTTCTTGAAGAGTGGGTAAATCCCGAGCCCAGATAATTCTAGTATTATACGAATATGCCTGGCATTTAGGGCACGTGTCCAGGCATGCAAATTGGCAGTCTGCTTCGCTTTCTACTGCGACTTGCGTGTCCGAGGTTCCAATTTCAATCTTCGTTAAGTTTAAGAATGCAATGTCTTTTCTTTCACACGATGTTGTGTTCTTTAAACAGCTCTCCAGAGGAATTATCTGGTAATGACTTCAGATGAAATCCAGGCAAACACTTGCAGACAGGGAGATTTAGATCATTGCAGCTACAAAAGCTCCCGCAAGCGTCGTGTATCTTACCCTACTGTCCAGACGGTCCAGGGATGCTCTCAGCAGCGTCTGCGTCTCCCTCAGCGTCCCAAATCTCAGCCCTTTAATAAATATCCAATGTGCTGTATTTTGCCACGTCATCTCACATAAAAAAGTTTTGTTTTTTATTTTATTTTCTATTTTCAAAATTTGTTCTAAAAATTTTTTTAAATAAATTTTTATTAAATAAATCAAGTCAGAGTTTGAATAAGTCAGACCATAAATATTTACTTACGATCTAATTTATTCTGTAAATTTTTTAAATAATTTTTTAATAAATAATCATGTCAGCATTTAAATAAGTCAGATTGTAAGCATTTCTTTAGAGTTTAACTTATTCTTTAAATTTTTTTAAACAAATTTTTATTAAATAAGTCAAATTAAATTTGAATAAGTTAGATTATAAATTTTTTTGTAAAAATTGAAGGGTAATTGTTTTGAATGAGTTTTGAAAATAAAAAATAAAATAAAAAATAAAATTATTTTTATGTAAAATGATGTGACAAAATATTAGATATTTATTGAAAGGCTTGGATTTGGGATGCCGAGGGTGACGTTGGTGAAAGGATGTGCATCCGACGGTTCACTCAAGCCCGCCGACCATTCACTACCGAGACTATTGTCGTACCTGTGTAATCCATGATTAGCCTTGTTAGATTATATAAGACTTCCAGGTTTGTATAGTGAAAGAATTTCATCCAAGGACTGTAGAAGTAATTTATCTTTAAGTGATTTTTAAAAAATTTTAAAATATTAGTTCAGTTTTATGAGACTAAACTAAAAATAAATTAAAAATAAAAAAATTAAAATACTCTCAATTTATATATATATATATATATATAAACTACCACTATTGTTGTCAGTAACCGAAGTTTTGTCGGCAACAATAGCCACTGGAACTCAACCTCTGGTTGAACCATCATCATCGAAGCTTCGATCACCAGCTGGACCACTGTCGGCGATGGCTGGAAAATTATGAGAATTAATTTCTCAAAGGTAGTCAAATTAGGTGTAGAATCCAAGACTCCTTAGTTCACCAAAAAATTTTGGATCACTAAACCATTCAACCCATTCAATTATACAATGTATAATATATATATATATATATATATATAATGAGCCTTATTTTTAAACCACTTGATAATTATGTTACTTATTAATCGCGTAACTTTACTTGTTAATAACTTAAAAAGATTTGTTAATTATTTAACTTTTCCTATTAACCCCACGACTCTTACAATAGAAATAAATTACTTGTTAATCATGTAACTATACTTGTTAATACCTCAACGAGACTTGTCAATTACTTAACTCTCCTTATTAAGTTCATGACTCCTACAACAAAGTTGCATTACTTGTTAATCACGTAACTATCATTGTTAATACCTTAATAGGATTAATTAATTACTTGACTTTACTTGTCAAATTTATGACTGCTTCAACTAAACTGCATTACTTATTAATCATGTAACTTTACTTGTTAATTATGTAATAATATTTGTTAATTACCTAGCTTGACTTGTTAATTCCATAACAAGACTTGTTTAACTATTGTTTCGAAAAAAATAACTAAATTTTTTAATTACATAACTTTACTTGTTAATACCTCAACAATACTTATTAATTATCTATTGTTACTTTTTAAATGAATATATAATTTACATAAAAAATTAAATTTGTCAAATAACGAAAACAATGATAGTCAAGTCTCATTTATCAGTATTAAACATACTTGTTAAAATATATTAGGCTTTAATTGTATAATATTTTTCAAACCTCTAGTATGATCAATATTCATCAAACTAGGGCTTTAATTGTATAAAAATTTTCACACCTCTAACTTTAATTATATAACATTTTTCAAACCTCTAATCTGATCAGTATTCATCAAACTAATGCTTTAATAGTACAAGAGTTTACATACCTCTAGCTTCATTGTGTAAGATTTTTCAAACATCTAGTCTAATTAGTATTTAAAGCTAGTGGTTTTCTTTCTTTTTTTTTAATATTGAACTGAGAGCATTTTAATTTTTTTTACTTTTAACTTATCTTCAGTTTAGTTTTATAGGACTAAACTGATATTTTAAATTTTTTTTTAAAAATTATCCGAAAATAAGTTGCTTTTGCCGTCTTTAAATGAAATTGTGCCTTGCATAATTCATAACTAGACTCGTGACGTTGTTAAGTTATTTTTATTCTTCAATTTGGATGGCCTCGTGACACTATTCTTCAACTGGGGGGCTCTGAGTGAAGTTTGTCAACAACAGGCTCGATACCGTCCGAAGTTTGCCAGGGAAGTTGGACTTGGTCTTTCAGAATGATAGAGCTGTTGTCCCCTGCTCGAGCAAGCCGAAGCGCCCAGATGATGGATCATCGAACCTTCTCCAATATGTCAGCTTTATGTTTTTATCCATCTATCTTCTGTTATCATAGTAAACTATAATAGATTTTTACTGTTTTTCAAATCATTTTCTTAAAAAAAAAATTTAACCATAAATTTTTTAAAAGCATGTTTTTAAAATAATTAACAACATAAAAATTTTTTTTAATCATATTTTTATTTTAGCTCTTTTTTTAAATTTTATGAAATTATGTTAGATTTTTTATTTATTTCTTTACATTTTATAAAAGTTTATATAATAATGAATTATAGGATGTGAGAAAAGAGACAATCAACCCAACGAAGTAACATATACATAAAATATATGCATCTAATACATAAAACACATGTATCTTCTATTATTATAGTAAAGTATAATAGATTTTTATTGTAAATGTACAGTAAAATTAAAATGACTGTAAATTTACAGTAAAAAGGAATTATACATAATATTTTTACTTCTTTTCAAATCATTTTTTAAAAATATTTTTAATCATGAATTTTTAAAAATAATTAACAACATAAAAAAATTAATCATATTTTTACTTTAGCTCTTTTTTTGAAGTTTATGAAATTATGTTAGATTTTTTATTTTTAATTTTTTTATTGACTTATAACTATGCATGATGGATATGGCGGTAAATTTTGAGGTATAATATGTTGTTAAAATTTTTAATTTTCATGGGGTTATAAATTACTAAATATGTTTTCGCATAATTGTTAAAATTTTATATTCTTAATATGTAAAATAAAAAAATTATAAAATAAAATAAGTTATTTCTTACATTTCTAACATGCAATTGATAATAAATTTTAAATTGCACCTTGTTATTAATATTTTTAAAAAATATGCATGAAGTTAAAAAATTAAAAAAAATATGATAGTAGGTGTTATTTAAATTTTTGGCATCATTTTAATCTATTATTTGTATTATGATGAGTTTGATTTTAAAAAAGGGGGAAAATATAATTGAAAGCTTTTAATTGATTTTTTTTTCTTCTTATGTTTTCTATTTGGTAAAATGTCATAATTTTCTTTGTCTAAATTTTTAAATTAAATTTAACATCTCTTGTTCCTTCCCTTTTTTTCTCTCAAACTGCATAGAAGATCAATGTCCTCAATGCATTATATGGGATCTAACATATTTTATTGTTTAATTATCATCGTTCAAGTGATATATATATATATATATATATATTTGCTTTCTTATGTTTTTTCAATTTTATAAAAATTTATATAACAATAGACTAAAATATGTAAAATAAAAAATAATTAACTGGGTTAACATATACGTAACATATATACATGTAATACGTAAAATTAAGATTTTAAAAACTAAATCGGTTATTAAACTAGACGAGACGTTATTCACTAATTAATAATTTAACCATGATCGAACCGTGATGTTATGTCTAATTTAATATTTTTAAATAATAATAACACTTATAAAAGTATGAAAAAGGTAACATATAATTATAAAAATGACATTTAAATTGAAAATAAAAATATTTATTTAAAACTAAAGGAAATTTATAAATCATGTTATATAATTTATCTTTTAATTTGTTTAAAAAATGAAAGTATGTATTTAGCATGATTCATCCTATTTATTTCGTAATGTAAAAGGCACTTAATAACATTAAATTGAATTTCTTTTCTAAAAAAGATTTTGCATTGACACGAAAATCAATTAATTTTCCCCTCCTCAATTGCTTTTCCGCTTCCGCTTCCATTCTTTAATTTTAAATTTAATATTATTAAAAATTCAAGGCAGCACGTGCTCTGAGAAACATCATTATTTATTTTATACTCAAAGACAATACATCCATTGTGTTACATTCTTTCTAAACAACCCTCGTCTTCCTCCTTTCTTTTTCACTCAGTCGCGGCGTCGGTCGTCGCCATGAGTCTCCAAGCAGGTTGAAGATTTTCGCGAGATCTAACTATTTTTATTGTGGATCTGACACTCCAGTAACTGCAGAAGCACGGCTAGGATGATGGTTCGCTGCAAAATAACTTTTTTGTTTTTCCTTTGCATCTCCTTCGTTCCCTGCTTTTTATCCCCCTTTTTTTCTGGCTTCTCCTCTTTTTTTTTTTTTTTCCGATTTAATGCTTGAACCGGTAAGTCAGCAAACCGTTCGGTTTTCACGGTTTTTTCAGTTTGTTGACCCGTTCAATCCCTTCCCAGTTTTTCCGCCTTGGCCAGACCAAACCAGTGATTGATTTCCAATTGAACTGACCGGTTCAGTCCAACTTCTAAAACATTGCGTAAAATACATGTAATTGTAGAAAATACCTGAAGAATAAATAAATTAAAAAAATAAAATAGCAAATTGACATAAGAAAATCACTTTAAATGAAATAAGGTATAAATTTTATTTTCTTAAGCACCTAATTTTTTTTTAATAAACCAAACTACCCATTAAAATTTTGATTGTTTCATTTTCTTTCCTTATTATTGAAAATTTTTAGCAATAGCTTCTTCTTCATTTATTAAAAGAGAGACCTATTTCTTTCATATATCATCTTATATAGTAGACTCTCTTAAGTCACAATATAATTGCATTTACATGCTTTAGATATTATAATCATCCTGAAATAATATATAATAAGTAACTAATATTAAATAAATAAGA